TGTTTGTCTTGCTGAATCGTGTTTGCTTGATGGACAATTATATAATCATATAATCTCAGACACTAATTATAGATGATGGTAGCAAGTCTGGGAGTTAAAAACCAGATTTTAATCAGCTGCAAAGAAAATGATAGGGAGCAGAATACTATAGTTTAAGAGCAAAACAAGAGGAATCTTGAAGACTCTTCATGATTAGTTTATTTATCAAGACAGAAGCTTCAGTGGGTGCCACAATAACATAAATAAATAAATAATCAAATAAGTTAATATATACATTCTCCTATGATACATTCACATGGTATATGTGTGGTATATATGTTAAGGTTTAGTAGCTTATTTTATAAGCTTCAGGATCAATATCTCACAATTTGACAAATAGTACTATTTTAGAGAATAAGAAAATATTGTTTCTGTTTCTTTGATTCTCTTATCTCATATATATCCATGTCCTCAGGGTTGGAGTGGCCTGTGTCTCAATACGCATAAATAAGGGAAGCACCACCGAAATGGTGATTAAAGAAGTTCTTCCACTACTTGGATACCAGGTAGGTGGTATAAAGCTACCAGTTGGTTCTTCTAAGGCAGTGGTTCCCAAAGGGGGTGGTACCGCCCCCTGGGGGGGCAGTGGGATGCCTTAGGGGGGCGCTAAGAGGCAAGGGGGCTGGCAGGGGGGCACTAAGAGGCAAGGGGGGCATTCGAGGCGCCGGCCCTGCAGGTTCACTCATTGACTCAGAGCCAGCGCCTCCAATGCGGAAGCAGTGGCACGTTATGTGCCGCTACGGCCGTGTTCGATGTGCCACCCCCCTGCCACCTCTTAGCGCCCCTCTGCTGGCCCCCTTGGGGATGCTAAGAGGCGGCAGGGGGCATTCGAGGCGCCGGTCTTGCAGGTTCACCCATTGACTGTAGCACCGCTCCGGAGTCGGTGCCTCCAATGCAGAAGCGGTGGCACGTTATGTGCCGTCGCAGCAGTGTTCAATGCACCGTTCAGATTGAATGAGGCCTAGTTTAGACTGAGGCCCTTTTCCACATTGAAACATCTTTGCCAGCACATTGAAACATCTCTGGCTTCTATTAAAGGTTTTGTGGACAAAACATGGTCAAGACTATCAGGAAGCTCTCACATTTTGTTGAGGCTTTAAACAGGATCCATTGGACCAGATCTCCACCCTAAAAATTACTTTTCCCCAATATATTACAGTGCCAATTCTGAAGAAGGCAAAACCAAAATGTACAGGTAAATTACAAGGAGAACACACACACACACACCCTTCTAACCCTGCTGGAGGAGGTGATTGGAATAGAATAGATATCTCATTATCTTTCTCCTCCCTCCCTCCCTCCCTCCCTCCCTCCTTCTTTATTTTTTTTTCTTTCTGTCCCTTCCTTCCATCCCCCCCTCTTTCTTTGTCCCTTTTTGTTTCTTTCCCTTTTCTCTTTATTTTCTCTCTCTCTCTCTCTCTCTTTCTTTTCTCTCTCTCTTTCCCTCTCTCAGGCTCATCCCTTTGGATCGGGGTTGCCAAACTTTTGGACCTCATGGACCACCAAACTCATAATTTTAAATCCCGGAGACCACTAATATGAATTTTGACTGACGGTGGCTTTCTGGCATTGGTGGGAGAGAGAGAGAGAGAGAGATCTGATCCAACCTCTCTCTCTCCCTTTCTCACACACACACAGGCAGGGGTGGGATTTAGACCCCTGATCTAAAGCCGTCAAAACTCCAAAAACTAGTAGCTCTGGGGAGGCCAGTCATAAATTAGAACACTTGCTAGACAACCGGTCATTAAGTGAGGACCACTTGTATTTGGTTTGCCAGTCACCTGGCCACGCCCATCCAGTCACATGAACAGCAAGCCACGCCCACCCAGTCATGTGACCAGCAAACCATACCCTCAAATTAGGCCACATCCATAGAAATTTGAATCCCACCCCTGGGTGGGGGGCACCGAGGATGAGTTTGTAGCACCAAGGGGGCAGTAGACCGAAAAAGTTTGGGAACCACTGTCCTAGGGTCTGATGAGTTAAATTTAATGGTCTTACTCAATTTGTAGTCCTATTGTGATTCCAAACAAGAGGCATATGAAAATAGCTGGTCCATTAGAGTTTTCTTATATGTCCTCTGTTTCTCCACATCCTGCAATGTCCTAGGAACTAGGTATTGAAATATTTTTTTCCCTGACTAGCTGCTATGTTGACCTTACTTGATAGAAGAATGATGGGAAAGGGAAGCAGAAGGTCAGGATGATCACTCTCCCCAAAAAGCTGATGGAAGGGCTTAGGTCTATATATTCAATCTTGACAGGATTGAAATTTATAATTTTTATGATCTTGTTAGAGGGAGTGAAGATTATAAGGAGTGGGTCTTCTTCTGCATGAGATCCAAAAGAATTTGGATTTTTTTCCCTACTTGATATGTGGCATGAGAAATCGGGATAAGATCCACAAGAATCAGGTTTTGGTATTATTATAAATACTAAGTATAATTCACATTCCTTTCTTCAGTGTATGCTGCGTCTGTGAGAGTTTGCCTGCTGAAAACAGGCAATTTCACATTTTTCTTTAATAGACTGAATCATGTTCTGCTCTGAAGCCCCCAAATAGTTTAAATTAATATTTAAGACTAAGCCTAGATGAGAGTAATCCTTATCCTCTTCTCTTTTTTGTGGCTTTTGGAGGGTTGTTTTTTTTTTTTGCATTGATTCTTGCCAAAATTAAGAATCCATTATTAGTTAGCCACTGATGATAATGTTATTGATGTTCTACACCTGGCTTGTTAAAAAAATTTGTGCAAAACATGCATTGCTTTAGATCATTGGTAGCTGAGTGCCACTCATTCTATAGAGCAAGGGTGTCAAACTCGTGTCGTCATGGCGGTGTCATGTGACCTATCGTGACTTCCCCCCCTTCGCTGAACCAGGCGTGGGCATGGCCAGCATGTGACGCATCCTGCCTACGGGCCACGAGTTTGACAGCCCTGCTAAAGAGTAAATTAACATTTAATATTTTGGCATTTATGCGGTGTTCAAGGAAATTTTGCCTTTTCAATGTTTAATAAAGGCTCACAACTTGTTTTTCAAACCGCAATGCAAAATTTCCCATCTTTTCAGGTAGTAAAAAGATTGTGATACTAAAGGGACGGCAGCTTACCTCTGTTTATAAGACATTTTCTTTTCTTTTTAAATGATGAAAACTGCTCAGTTTTAAATCCTATAGTTTGCTGGGCATTCATTTTAACATATCTGTCTTTTGGCAGTCAGATTGCTTCCAAAACTTCAAATTGGTGGAGATCCTGATGGGCTCCAGACAAGGTGAGATGCTGTTCCACTGAATTATGTAAACGTAACTTCAATTTAAAAAACCTAAATGTCTGATTGTGTCTCTCTTTTTAAATTGCAAGTTCCCTTACTCCTAAGAAATTTCTGTACTTGCCATTTTGACTGTTTTAATTAATTGCATGATAGCTTTCAATTAAAAAAGAATCAATTAAGATTTTTTTAAAAATTCTCCTTAGTTCAGCGAATGGTGCTGGATGACCATGAATCAATTATCGGCAGGTTACAAGACATCAGAAAGGTAAACAAGGAAACTGTACAAAGGACTTTTCTATATCCTTCGGTGCTTTACTAAATGTTCAAACTCTTATGAATATTTCTATAAAAAAAAAGCCCTCATGGTACAAAGATATTTAGGCAAACTGGCTGGATTCACACTTAAGATTCCACAATTGCTGATATTTCCCCTTTATAACTTAGGAACATGGCTTTTCTGTTGAGGTGCTATCTCTTAACCAAGCAGAAACACCAGAAGGAACAAAATTCAGTACAGGTAGTCCTTGAGTTATGACCACAATTGGGTCCAGAATTTATGTTGCTAAATGAAACGTTCATTAAGTGAGTTTGCCCCATTTTGCAACCTTTCATTTTTGCATTTGTTAAATGAATCATTGCATTTGTTAGTAACTTGCTTGTTAAGTGAATCTGGCTTCCCCATTGAGTTTTGCTTGTCAGAAGGTCACAAAGGGGGAATCACGTGACCCACACGGACACTGCAGCCGTTGTAAATAATGAGTCAGTTGCCAAGCATCTGAATTTTGATTATGTGACCGTGAGGATGCTGCAACAATCATATAATCAAAAAACGGTCATAAGTCACTTTTTCTGGTGCCATTGTAACTTCGAACGGTCACTTAAATGAACTGTTGTAAGTTGAGGACTACCTGTATTTCATCAGTGCTGGAAGCCTGGGTTTATCCCTCCTTTAAAAAGCCACTAGTTGGAATAAGAAAATGTATAGTAGCTCCAAATCCTGGTTTATTTGAGGAAGGGGTCCTAGTTCATTAGTAATACAAAGTTCTTGCTTCTAGTGGTCTTGGTCTTTGATTGTGCTGATTATGTGTTGCTTATAAACTGCATTTCTGGCTTTTGTGGCAATAGTTATTGTGATCATAAGTAATTGTGCAAAATAGTTTACTATCTTCTTCACTGTGTATTGTTGGCATAGAATTTTAAATTCAATTTATTTCAGTGCCTGTTCATACTAAAGGCATTCTAAACTATTTACAGTTTTCAAGCTGTTGCTAACATGTAGGACAGACAGACTGAAAATGAACAAGGAAATCCACATAAAAGGAAATGTCTCCGCTGAAGAATGATCCTTATGGTAGACAGGCTTCATGGTCTGGGAATTGTGTTTTGGTACCGATGGTAGAATGGTTATAGTAGTCTTGACCTTCTCTCCGTATGAAATGTGCTTTAAGGTGATGAAATGTAATTTTTTTCTTACACAGACATCGTTACGTCAGATGAACCAAACAAGATTTTACATTGTAGAAAATAATATATCAACTGTGCGGGTCCATCTGTTTGTTGGCGGTCTGCCACTCCATCTTACTACAGAAGAATATACAAAAATCCTCAAAGATGAATTAGCCATCAAAAGTACGTCAGATATCCCTTTCCCCTGTGTCTTTTTTTAATCTGCATAAATTGAAAAGTGCTTTTATGTTTGGAAATGTTCTCAGATGCTATCAATTTTTGGAATTACTTTTCATATTTTATACATGCTGTAACTTGTAGAAAATGATTAAAATCTTATTTAATCAGAGGCAATCATCTGTATGCCCCTGACACTTATTTTTACTATTCATAAATTGTCCTACCCTTTCATTTTTTTCCTTGGATTGAATAGCAGCCACTTTCCATTTTTGTACATAAGATTTTACATGAAAGACTTATTAGGTGGATATGCATTGCATTTATCAGTCATTTTTAGTTTGGGGGGTGGGAATTTAAAAAAGTAATAAGGAATACTGGTGTTAAAGTAATATATCCCCTTAAGAAGAGAAGGTATGAACACAGGTTTCTTTTTAAAATTAACTAAGTTAGAATTGGCTATTTCAGATAATGAAGAAGTAGAAATTTATGAGTTGGGTATATCGCTGGGTAAAAATATAATGGATTCTTTGTTAAACACCTACCCAACTTGTTATGCAATCATTCTACCCTCCATTTCTCCATCACATTTGTGAGAATGAATGTGGGTTGCGTATATATCTATCTGTTGGGTCCTCAAAAGCTCTGTTGCACAGATGAAAATTGTGCCCATGGTTTATGAAATGTTACCCATCCTATCCTTGTTGATAGAAACTTAAATTAATAGCTAGCTTATGTGTGATTTGTATTTGTTTAACTAACATATTCCCATCAGTACTGTTTGGAATTTGCTTTATTTTATCACGAACCAGTTGATCCTATTTACTATCCTGAAGCCTTAGCTTAAAACCCATGGACAATTTGTGTTTAAATTTTTACTCATCTTCAAATAAACAAAACTGGTCTTTTAAAATAAAGTTTTTTAAAGGGATGCTTAGACAATGATTTTTTTATTATCATTTCAGCCAATTTAGTTTCTATGAGTCACATATATTCATCTCAAGGTAAGAATATCATATTTTCATTCAAATTTGGCAGCTGAATTATTGGATGTTCTGTTTTGCTCTAGTTCATGTATGGTGCATATAAGAATTATTTCACTAGCTCTTTCCCTTCCTCATAATGCTCTTTGCATGTAGAAGCAAGAGCTCTTCCCTTATCATACTATTATGTGTATTAATATGTCATCTCCTGGAATAGAAAAAATCTAGACCGTACCATAGAAAGAAATGTTTCCTAGAAATAAACCCAGTCCCTAGTGACCCTAATAATCAATAAAGTTTTAGATTTGAGTGAGTGAGGTGAATGGCATACTAATACTTACGTTGGAACAAATATGGGAACTCGCAGTATTATACATATAAAATATAAGCATGTCATGTTAAATATATTCTTCATTTATTTAGGTGCTGTTGTACTAGAAATTACTTGTTTTTCCGAAGCTGAAAGACTGTATATGTTAGTTAAAGATACTTTCATCAATGACAAGGCATTAACTGCAGTTATTCTCCCTGAAATTCTGGTAAGATCCATTGGCTGTCTGTAGTAACATATGATCTAATTACACAGTTCATGTTTATTTAGCATATTTTCTCCGATGTTTATTTTTATTTTGTTTTATTTGTAAGACACATGCTATATATTGCTTCGATCTGGTGGCTCTCTAAATGCATTATTACATTTTATGTGAAAGCTATAGAATTTCTTTATAATATACTGTGGCACCAATAGGAGTGAATCTCTGAAGGCCTTCAGGCAGGTCTCTGCAAGCGTTTGGAAAGCCATAACGAGTGGGCTACCAGTATTTCAGGGGTGAAACGTGTTTCAAAAGTGGGGAGCTGCCATAGACTAGGTCCATTTCTATGACCCTACTAATTATACTGCATAGTACACAAGGACTACACCTTGAATGCACTTGGAAACATATGGACAGCCATAACTGTAACTCTGATAGTTATGTAGCAGCAATGAGATTGCCCATAACATGGTGTGAGACACAGCTTGCACTAATTGAAATTTCTGTGTCCTTTTCAATAATAGCCATATATAAAAGGAATTGCATTAATCCAGAAGTGAGGTATGTTCGTCAGCTCTAGGCAAGAGTACAGCTATTGCTAAGAACTGCTGGAGACCCTCCTGATCATGTGGAAGTAATGATCAGGAGGGTCTCCATCAAGAACCATGAGTCCAGATGGGATCCCAAGATAAGGTAAACATCTGTTCAGAGAGAGAGTTGTTATGAATCCAGAACCATTAAACTACTTAATGAACTATCATCCCATTTTGTCTATTTTATTTCCTATCCCGATCCTGGTAGCCCCAGGTACTGGCTTACAACTTCCACCATATCCCTCATTTGAATGAGAATGGAGATAGATAGTGATGATATTTTATCCCAAACTGGTGGATAATCTCTTCTACTAGCTTTCTGTAGATGTTTAATGTGATTGGAGACTGCAGTAATTGCAAAATAAACAAGAGAATAACAGAATTGGGGTCCTTGAGGTCCTCTAGTCCAATTTGGTGGTCTCTTGCTTGAGCATACCATCTCAGACAAAAGTTGTCCAATCTCTTCTTAACAACTTCTAATGATGGAGTACCCACAACTTTTGAAGGCAAGCATTCCACTTGTTAATTGTTCTCACTGTTAGGACATTTCTCCTTAATTCTACATTGGTTCTCAATTTGATTAGTTTACATCCATTGCTTATTGTCTTGCCTTCAATTACTTTGGAGAATAGGTTGACCACCTCTTCTTTGTGGGAGCCCCTCAAATATTGGAACACTGCTATCATGTCATCCTATCTTTCTTTTTACTAGATTAGACATACCCAATTCCTGCAACCGTTTTTTGTATGTTTTAGCCTCCAGCCCCCTAATCTTTGTTGCGCTTCTTTGCATTCTTTCCAGAGTCTCATGATCTTTTTTATATCGTGGCAACCAAAACTGAATGCAATATTCCAAGTGTGGTCTTACCAAGACATTATAAAGTGGCAATAACACTTCACATCAGGGGTGGGATTCTACCAGTTCGCACCTATTCGCTAGAACCGGTTGTTAACATTCTAAGCAGTTCAGAGAACCGGTTATTAGAAGAAATTACTGGCCTAATCCTGTAAGGAAGGCAGGAAGGAAAGATTCTGGAGTTTTTTTCTCCTCCTTTGCTGGTACTTTGCTTGTGTGGAGTGGCCATTCAAAGTTACAATGGCACGGAAAAAAGTGACTTATGATCATTTTTCACACTTATGACTATTGCAGCATCCCCACAGTCATGAGAGGCCAGGCGAGGAGATGCGTGCCTCGATGTGAGTGATATTGAGTTGGCCATGCCCAGCCAATAACATGACCACCAAGCCACATCCACCCAGTCACATGACCACCAAGCCATGCCCACCAACTAAGCCACGGCCACAGAACCGGTTGTTAAAAAATTTGAATCCCACCCCTGCTTCACATGTTAGTTACATTAAATTAAATACTTAGAATAAGTTAGTTAAATAGCTAGAATAAAAACATCTTAATTTATTAATATAAAGGAAATAATCCATTGCACGTTGCTGACTGAATATTTTATATAATTGAGTTGTTCCTTAAAGTCCAACTGGATTGATATTCTTTCAATAATGAATGTTCAAACATTTGCCCAGTATACATTGTATTAATTAAATATGTGCTCTCTGGCATAGAGGTGATACAAATCTATTCTAATAATCAGAACAAAGTTTTCTTAGTGAAATGAAAGTGATTTCATTTTTATAGCAATTTAACTTGTTAAATTAAATTCAGCACTATTTTGATTTTCCACTCTGATCACACGGAGAATGTGAAGAATTAACAAACAGTGACACAGAAGAATTTACTGTCAATTAGGAAATGTGTTGTTATAAACAAAGAACAGTTGTGTTTGTTTTGGACATTTAAAATAATAAGCTATTTTGGTTCTATAAAAGAAGAACAGCTTTGCCAATTTAAAAGCTTGAAGGACAGTTTCAGTGTGCTTTAAATAAGAACGCTAGCTGTTTCTGGAGAGTATAACAGTGAGTTCATTTACGTTTGTAAATAACTCTGTATATTGTTGAATATAGTCAGTATTGAATTGGCAATAGATCTGGCAGGCTGAAATCTCTTGAAAATGTAAAAATGAATGGTGGGAGCAGCATGAAATCTTATTTCCTAGGATGTGCGTCTTATGGCATTTAGGAATCCTTTGATGTTTCTTTTATAAGTTAGACCAATCATGTGTATTCTTATCTGGCTGAATTTCTCCCTAGCCGTTCTGTGATTTGTGTTGTGGTTACATACTGATACAGGGATCATTTGTGAGATTACATCAGGGGACAATAACCCGTAACCTGCTATAGTTACTGCTATTCCTTGTTTACTGACCCTAAGTGAATCCTTTGTTTCTTATGATTTGCAAGAGATTTGAATTCTAGATAAGAACTTTTAAGATTTGCCTATTAAACAATAGGTGCAGTTGCAGAGATCAATGACTTATAGTAAACACTTTGAAAAATTACTTGAAATTGTCCAGTAGGATCATGCAAACAATTAGTTAAGCCTTGCTTTACAAGGCTTCCTGTACATATTAGTCAGATTTCAAAGACTTTGCTTTTACGCCCAAATTAAAATAGGCAGGCGGAGGTTTATTTCTGCTCAAGTGAACACTTGGTGCATGATGCTTTTTCTAAGGCAGCACTCTGATTTTTTTTCAGGCAGAAAGAAGTTGGGAAAAAATGCAGTCATACATTGCAAAGGAGTCCCTTAAGTCTTTTTATTACTTATTTCTACATGTTGCTCCTCTTAATGATTAATTTTTCTTAGGAATTTGAGTCAAAGGAAAAGAGAGGTACAGAATTTAGAGAAGGGAATTTCTTTCACTGCATTTGGGGTGTGTGTGTGTAGGTGTAGAAAAAGCAAGATGAACATTCATATGAACTGGTTCAGATCCAACCTGATTAATAATTTAAAAGTTACATAAACAATTCCCTTTGTTCTCAGATCAGTTGCAAAAAGTTCAGAAATATTTGGTTCCACTTTAGATTAATGAGTGCTTGGAAATCCCTGGTTTGATGGCAGTAGAAACAAGTCAGGTCTGTGGATTGTGAAGCTGTTTTCTGTAAAGTAGCCATAATTACATTTAATCACAAACTATGTGTAAACTTGTGGCTAATCTAAACTAGAAGCAGAAACTTTCAATTTTCGTACAACTTTGCCAGGAGAGAAGGGAACAATGTAGGTTGTTTTCCTTGTGAAGCCAGATTTATACAGATTTACACATAATTGTTTGAAATCGACCAGAGTTTTCTAGTATAAAGCATGGAATAAAGTAGATGAAAGGGTAGCCTCACCAAGTATCCCACAATAAAAATAAGAGAGTTAATCTTTCTAGTCCATTTTCATTTATGAAAAATGAAAAGTGGATATTTCTGATTGATATGGTAGTTTGTTATAAGCCCATAGGGCAGGGGTGTCCAACCTTGGCAACTTTAAGACTTGTGGACTTCAACTCGCAGAATTCCTCAGCCAGCAATTCCTCACCCAGAATTCTGGGAGTTGAAGTCCACAAGTCTTAAAGTTGCCAAGGTTGGACACCCCTGCCATAGGGTCTTCCAGTCCTTCAGTCATTCGTATGTACTACAAAAATAAAATAAGGACAAAATCAGGGTTTGCTGCCAGGGGTCGCTTGCAAAGACTTGTAGGGATTTTGAAAACCAAATCCCAAAATGGCTGCCGTGGAGGATTCATAATCCTGTATAAGGGTGTGCAGGTGAGGAGTTCTTGCTGTGTGATGGAGAAGGTGGCTGGACCCACCCTTCAAATCTCCCCAACTCTGTTATAGAGCAAATGGATCTTGATTTTCCTCTGTAGAAACCTCTTCAATATTTTGTGAAGACCATTGATTTGGTATAGTGGAACCATACTCTCAACCCAGTGCCTCCCCAGTGATGAGGGAGCAAGACACTGAACTAACCAGCAGAGCAGAAGGAAGGCAACAGCTGGCACTCTTGGCAAGGAAGAGATTTAAGACTCACGGAAACAGTTTTCATTTGCAATTTAAGCATCTGGCTTCATGTGCGGTGACTTTGCGAATCCAATTATTTACAACCCCTGCTTGTTTAACTGCTGTTGATTTTGGCATCATAAATCTTCAACTTGGGTTTGGATTGCTTGACCTAGAATTCATCTTTGTCCAACTAGATGCTTATCTGTGATTATTTGTGTCCCCGTTTTTTGCCTTTTACTTTGCCAATTGCTGCTCCCTTGCTGTCAGAATTTGCAGAGATTACACTTCCCCTTAATAGGGAAGTCCAGGAATTTTGTTTTGTTCCTTGTTCCTGATTGGCAAGAATGCCAAGATATAAAGCTCCCTCATCCATTTTGATATCATTGAGAACATAGTTGGTTATTTATTGATTGCTTTGTCTTCGGGAAATATATTACCCTAATATCCCTCAGTTCCATATATTCATATCATATCCCTTCATTACACTCTTCTTCCATGGGCTTGAGCCCTGTGCTACCTATTACTCAAAAATCTCCTTCTCTACTTTTAAAGATGAGGGCAATGTCCTTGCTATTCCCCAGATCTCCCAGCAGTCATAATCCAGAGTTCCACAACATTCACCTGTTTGTAATGTTCACTTGGATCTGTCAAAGGATGACAATTATGCCTCCAAAGCGTCTTGTGTTTCTCCTATCTATTTCATCACTGGATACTTAGGTCTGTTACAGATTACATCCTTTCTCTGTTACTCATTCTTGTGTTTCCAGTCTTGGAGTCAACCTCCTTTACCCACCATTGGCCCTCTTTGAATCCACTGGAGCAAATACAAGAATGATCATTGTATCTTGAGACAATAACTAGTGCCTGTGTTTCTTCGGTAGGGACAAAATAGGCCTTCAATCTGTAGGAGGTATGTTCATCCAGGTCCATATAAAATGTCTTCCAGCAGTTCTTACACCGACTAAGATCCTAGCAAAGATGCACAAGAATCCAACATCCATACATCCTTTTCATCCCATGGAGGCTTCAGCAGCCATGGTTTGCTTCATTTTGTGACTTGTATACTGGGATTACATCCTATTCCCCAAATGACCTGAACTTCGGGAAAAGCGCATAACCTAGATCTTTATTCTGACTGACTCACATCTTGAAGGAGTCGATTCTGGTAATCTGTCTTCATACGTCCTTCCCTTCTTCCCTGCTTGGTGCTGGTGATGTTAGGATTTCATGCAGGATCTGCTATGTTGGTATCAGGAATTAAGGGGATTTAGCATGAAATGCAGCTAGTCACTCGTTGTATGCATGGAGGACAAGACTCCAAACAAAGCATGCCATACACTATAGCAGATTCTGAATGGGCTTTGCAGAAGTGGGAAGCCCTTTGGTGAATTCACAGAAGACTATTCAGTTTCACTGTAGGTAAGTTGGTTTCATTGGTTTGTGTTGATTGGCTGTTAAAGTAGAATAAACCATAATGAGCACTGATGCTCTGTTTCTGAAAGTACCTCTACCGAAAGATTGGAGTATTGAACTGATGGGAGGTTAAGAAACAGAAGCGACTCTACATCATAGTTTATCTTTTCATTTGGAAGCTCAGACCAGTGATTAGTATAAATCATGGTGTCAGAAAGAACCCTCTACTAGAGCCAGATGTAATTAGAGCCCAGGAGGAAAAGAATGATTTGGTTTGATAATATTAATCCATTCATTCTCTCAAAAATAAACTGCTTGTCGCTGTTATTTTCCATTTTTGCCTAAGCCAATGAAAGATAGTCTTTAGGGATAAAGGCAAACTGTTCCTGTGTTTAAGCAGCTGCCTAGAACAATCAATGCCTTACCTTTGATTCAGCTTTGCTCATTTTGGAGTAAATGTGGCAGAGACGGTTCAAGTTATATTTGTTTGTTGTTGGTTAGTTTGATTTATATAGATGTCCAGCTTGCAAAAAGCAACTCTGAGCAGCTTACAATTGGAGAAAATCATGAAAAACAAACTAACTAACTAAAAACTAAAAATGGAGCACAACCAATGCCTGGATCTAAAAAGAGAATAACAAAATAAAAGCTAACAGAATAATTGAGACCAGCCATAGTTTTCATTCTGGATAGGTTCATCTCACACTCTGGTCCAGTGTCCAGGAGAACAGCCATATTTTCAGGGTTTTATGTCGGGCTAGTAGTGTCAGACCATTTGAACCTTGGGAAATAATATTCCATAAAGCAGGTGCTATGACAGAGAAGGCATCACCAGGTCTTACCAGGTTTCATTGTTTCTGCCAAATCTCATAGAGCCATGATGGTGAACCTATGGCATGCGATAGGTCATCCGGAACAGACCCACTGCGCATGCGCCCCCTGCCAGCCGGCTGATTATTGGGTATCTCCCGTGCATGCGCAGGGGGCGGGGCGCACGTGGGGGGTTGTGCACGCATGCACGAAGGCATGGGGCATGGGGGGGGTCACATGCGCAGGGGGGATGGGGGTTGTGCACACATTGCATTATGGGTGCAGGCATGGATGAGGAAAAGGTTAGCCATCGCTGTCATAGAGTAAGCAGAAACAATTGGAGTTGAGAAGTCCTACAAATAACCTTGCCTTAGGCCATGTAGGTCATTTATACTAGATGATAACTGGCAACCTGAACTGCATCCATGAGCCAACACAGCTCACAAAAGTTTGTTGTTCCATCACTTAGTCCTAACTTTGCAACCCCATGGATCACAGCACATCAGGCTCCCACTGTCCTCCATGAATTTGCCCAAATTCATGTTTCACTGCATTGATGACACTATTTAACCATCTCATCCTCTGCTGTCTCCTTTTCATTTTGCCTTCAATCTTTCCCAACTTCAGGGTCTATTCCAATAAGTCCTCTCCTCTCATTAGGTGCCCGAAATATTTGAGCTTCAGCTTCACTTTCTGTCTTTCCAAAGAACAACCAGGGTTGATTTTCTTTAGGATTGACTGATTTGATCATCTTGCAGTCCAAGGGACTCTCAAGAGTCTTCTTCAACACCACAATTTGAAAGCAGCAGTTCTTCAGTGCTCAGACTTCCTTAAAAAATGTACTACCACTGGGAAAATCACAGTTCTCAAAATAGGCTTGTCACTGACTTGTCCAACAACTACTTGGGCTGCTAGACCAATGACAGCTTTTGGGTAGCTTTCAAAGGTAGGCCCCATGTACACCACATTGCAGTGGTGCAAACCAGAGGTGACCAGAGCACAAACGATTGTGAACAGCCTACCGGTCTAAGAAAGGACCCAGCTGGTACACATGAGCATAAAGACCTTCATTGATATGGCTGCCATCTGCTTTTCCAGACGTTTTACTTTTGATAACTCAACCCCGGTATATCAAGGTTACCAAATTCTTGGCAATAGCTATCCCTTGTAGAAGTCAGCTGGTACCCCCTTTTTATAACTAATTATTTTAAGCTTGGCATATGAGGCAATTTTAAGTTTTATATGTGTTTATTATCAGTCTGGGATAATCATTTAACTGTGCTGTTCCTTACTGGAAGTTCCAAACTGCTTTTTCAGGAGACAACTGGACTTTGGTTCCCCACCCCACTTTGAAGATGTTTTGCTTATCATCCAAGAAGCTTCTTCAGCTCTGACTGGATGGTGGGGTATGAAAGGATTTATATTCCTTGCAGACATCTGGTCATTCCCATCTTCCCTTCGAATGGTATGAACAGACTTCCAAAAATAATAATAATAATAATAATTGCAGACTACAGAAGCCATTAATACAACTCAAGTGACCCTGAGGACACAGGTAAACCTCCAAGTGGCCTCAGCAACCCTCTAAAAGGATGCAAATGACCAGCTATCTGCAAAGAATATAAACCCTTCCATTCTCCACCAGCCAGTCAGAGCTGAAGAAGCTTCTTGGATGATAAGCAAAATGTCTTCAGAGAAAAACAAAATCCCAGTTGCCTCCTGAAAAAGCACTTTTACGACAGCCATGACCTGGATGACTAAGAGCCTCTACAGACTTCCTTACTGGAAGTTAGGTGCAAGTAATAAAAATAAGACTTTCTTTGGAAATCACTAACAGACATCTTTGTGCCTTTTAAATTCATGACCAACACCTCCCCAAAAACTGCAAAAATGTTCTTAATAAGTACTCTTAGATTGTTAGGAATGTTGGGTTTTTATTGTCTTAAGCATCATCGTGTAGTTTGGAACTTTATCTTGTTGTCTCTAAATGCCACATTTTTTAACCACTTTCTCCTTTCATTATTTTTTTAGCAAAATAAGCTTCCTCAGAACTGCTGTCCTTTACTTGTATTTGTGAATCCCAAAAGTGGAGGTCTTAAAGGTCGGAATTTGCTGTACAGTTTCCGAAAACTGTTGAATCCTCATCAGATCTTTGAACTAACAAATGGAGGTCCACTGCCTGGGTAATCTCTTGTTTCTATTCAATACATCTTGACTGTTTCACGTGTGATTTGTTTAGGGTGATTTTTTTTTCCCCTTGCTCTTTTTTTCTCCTTGCTCTTGGCCTTGCAAAGCTGCCGAAGCCCTGAGCAATGGCCAAATGAAATTGCTCGAGTAACATTTTTAGTCTGCCCTTGGAGAAGAAATGAAGAGGATAACATTTCCTCATCTCAACTCCTTTTTGTTCCTGAGCCTTTTTGTGTTAAAAATTTGGCACCGTGTAAATGGCTTAGGGGTTTGAAAATCGGTAACCTTGGTTAATTAGGTGATCTTGTATCGTTTCAATACGGGTGAGAAGATGGCGTTGCCAAGGAACATCTTAAGATTTTGCAGCTGCTGTGTTGGGATTTCCTAATTCTCTCTTTTGACCAGAAGATTCTGACGCCTTATTGTCTGTTTATTTTGGAAGGTTGCTCGAATTGGAGCGCAAAGCTGCTGTTTGCAAAAAGGAGATCCGAAGCCTTGGGCTAATGCTCCACAAAGGCTTTGGAAGGCAGCCACCTCTTTCAAAAGCTTTTAGTGCAGTAATCAGGAAGCATCACAGTGTGAATAGCGATGTGGCTGAGCTTGGCCAAAAGGTTCAGTTTAAAAAAAAAAAAAAAAGGGAAGATATGTTTAACCCTACTGTCAAATAATAAATCTTTGCGCTCTTTTCAATAGGCTCTCAAGACACTTATTAAAACTGTCAGGGTGAGTTGAATAAATGCCATTTCTATTTTTTGCATCGGGATTTGGCAGCAGTTATTCCAAAGAAAAGAAGCTAATTTGTCAAAGACACAGTGATGCAAAGAATGAAAAAAAGAGAAAGCTGAAAACTCTAGATACTTGCCCTTTATTGGAAAATAGACTGAATGTTCATTACATGACTTTCCCCCGCTACTTACACATGTAAATTTTGATGAAGTATTAATTGAAAATGAAACATTGCAAGGTGGGGTTTTTTTCTACTTAAGCTGCACGAAATACATCCACATGTTCTACAGACTTTTTTTTTAATAAGTAGAAGTACAAAATTAATTTTAGGTTGGTTTGAGTACTTTCCCCTCTCTCAGTTTTATTTATTGGTGACGAGTTTTATTTTTCAAATAGCCAACAAACTATTTTGCTTGCTTTCTTCTTCTTGCCACATGCAAATCTGCCGTCTTTTCATTTTGAATGCATATTACATAGCTGGAAAGTGATACTATAAAAAGTCAGTGGACTTTTTATCTGTTACCCAGGAATGTGTTTTTGAGTAGTCAATCCCCATTTTTCAGACCAGCAAGATATTTAAATCAAATAACCATTATCAAACTCTGAAGAGCACTTTAGCATTTTTTAATGCTCTCCTAACAGTTGTTTTTGAGGGCAAACATAATCTGCAAATCTGAGATTGAGAAGGACTTTTTGGCCTTATAGCTCACGCCTTACTGTATTGGGTCTATAAGGCCCATTCCATCATTCCATATATATGGAATTCTCTTCTCTCCAAGAGGTGACACTAGGTGACTTGCAAAATAAAACATTAACTATTAAGATAATAAATATTAATGTTAAAATTGATTTAAAATCAACAAAGGTGATAGGAAGGGAGCAGGATGCATATGAAGGTGAAGTCTTATTTGAAAAAGAACGTTAGGTTGGCTCATTTTTTGTTTATTTTTTTCTGATTTTGGTGCTATTATGTTAGAATATGAAAAAAAAATCCATGTTTAATACAATCAGATCTTCTAGAACAGTGGTTCCCAACCTTTTTTTCGCCTCGCACCCCTAAAGAAATTTCACTCGAACCTCTCACCCCCTGGAATAAAAATGCCATATAGCCAATATCCTATTATTTACCTGGACTTTTCTCGCACCCCCTGGAATATCGTCTCGCACCCCCAGGGGGTGCAAGCACCCCAGGTTGGGAACCCCTGTTCTAGAATGAAGAGGTAATACTAGATCATTCTTTGAGTGATCTTCATACTGTTGTCAGTATCTCAAAAGCATTCAGACAAGATCCAGAAAGTTACTCTTATACATCTCCCAGGAGTCTGAGCCCAATGAAATTTCTCAATTCTTTCTGTCCTTCAAATTGCTTTTGGGGCTGGAAGGGTTGTTGCTGGATTAAATAAAGTCCATTCTCTCCTTGCCTATGTAGAATTCATTTGGTTCTTGTCTATAAAAAAAAAGAAGATACACAAGCCCATGTCTGTTTTTAATCGCTGAATAGATTTAAAGAAAACTGTACATACGTTTGAATTCGCAGTTATGCTAACAATATTATTGTGCTTATTGTCTTTTTATACATTGAAGATTTCACACCTTCTCTCAAATTCCATATTTCCGAATATTGGTATGCGGTGGTGATGGCACAGTTGGATGGGTCCTTGGTGCCCTGGAAGAGATCAGGCACAAGCTCGCCTGCCCTGAACCATCTGTGGCTATTTTGCCTTTAGGAACAGGTGAGACTTAAACTGCAGCTTTCAGGAAGAAGAAGGGCAATGGGTGAGGATTCTCATAAGCTCAAAGATTCTATCCTTCCGCAAATTAAATTAGCACTGGCTACCGTTACAGCAAACTGGTGTTATTCGGTTATTTCCAACAGCAAATTCAGCAAACATCTCATTTTAACTTTGTAAGTGATAATTAAAAATGTATTTGAATCAATGGCCTTGTAGATGTGTCAGAACTACAACTCCCAGTAGTCTACACCAATGATTCTCATCCTTTTCTTCACCACAGACCCCTTTTAAATACCTTTTGTGGCCCCAGACCACACAGACTTAACTCAAGATTTAAATCTTAACATTTCTTTGAGACTTTTTGGACCCCTCCTGTGACATCATGGCCCCTCGGGGGTTGGTAGACCATAGGTTGAGAACTACCGGTCTCCACCCTTGGTCAGAAGTGGTAGGCCTACTGAAATTTAGGTTGTCTTAGAGTAACACTTTCTTTTTCTTTAGTAGGTTTTTTAAATGAAAATATTCTCTTTTTGATCAGGTAACGACTTAGGGAGGGTCCTGCGTTGGGGTGCTGGCTACAGTGGCGAAGATCCGTACTCCATTCTGATATCTGTAGATGAAGCTGACGATGTTCTGATGGATCGTTGGACCATCCTTTTAGATGCTCAAGAGGCACTGGAAAGCTCAGAAAATGGTGTTTCAGAGCCAGAACCTCCTAAGGTATTTCTCAATTTTTTTTCCTTCCTGAAATTACAACAATAATAACAGTAAAAAAGAAGAAGTAAACAGTAAAAAAAAAAAAAAAAAAGGAAGGTGCTGAACATCCAAAACTCATTAATTAAAGCAGTAGAGGATAATTTGGTTGTATTGGAGTGTCCTTCTCTGATGCCTGCTATTTATTAAGTAGATTTATAGTCTTCTCTCATTTTCCCCTTCACTTTCGCTTCTACATCTCTCTTTTTTTTCACCATAATTACTCTCTTCTCATTCTCTGTTCCTCTTTTCTGATGAATATGCAAGTCATGATGAAAATTCTTACCTTAATGACAATGCAATGTTGACAGGCATTATGCACAGAGGATGTCTGTGTTTAAAAAATATAATCAATATTCTGATTACTTGTGAATGATGCAATTTTATTTTGAAAGGCCTATAAATTGCTACGGTGCTTTGTTACACATTTTCCTTAATTTGAAGATTGCAAAGCTATGAAATATTCTAATTAGAATATATATGTTTGATAAAGTAATTACCAAACGGCTAGGATTTTTATAAAATCCTTGTAGAATGGATCACAGTTTACGTCTCGTTCCTTTTCATAAACCAATAAAGCAACAGCTGAGTGTGCTATTCTATTCTAGGTTAAGCACAGTAAAGTTTACATTGTCTGCCACATAAAATGAAACCACCAGCTTTCTTATATAGCCTCTTGAAATGCATTACATGAAGAATGTTTGGGATTTAATGTGAGATATGTCATACCTCTTCAAATTATTTTCCAAGGAAGATTATTTGTTTCTGTATCAAATCTGGAAACCATCCATCTCACTCACAGAGCAGACTCTGAGCGGTGTACAATTAAACCATAAAAATATGATATCAGTTTTCCAATATTTGAGGGGCTGCCACAAAGAGGAGGGGGTCAATAGCAATAGCATTTAGACTTATATACTGCTTTACAGCCCTTTCTTAGCGGTTTACAAAGCCAGCCTATTTCCCCCAACAATCTGGGTCCTTTTTTACCCACCTCGGAAGGATGGAAGGCTGAGTCAACCTTGAGCCTGGTGAGATTTGAACTGCCAAATTTCAGGCAGCCAGCAGAAGCAGCCTGCAGTACTGCACTCTAACCACTGCGCCACTGCAGCTGTTTTCCAAAGCACCCAAAGGCCAGACAAGGAACAATGGATGGAAACTGATAAAGGAGAGATTCAACCTAGAAATAAGGAGGATTTTTTTTGACAGTGAGAACGATCAACCAGTAAGACAGCTTGCCTTCAGAAGTTGTGGGAGCTTCATCACTGGAAGTTTTCAAAAAGAGACTGGACTGTCATTTGTCAGAAATGGTATTGGATCTCCTGCTTGGGGTGGGAGGTTGGACTATAAGACCTACAAGTTCCCTTCCAACTCTGTTAATCTGTTAAGGAGAGGTATAAATATATAAATAATGTATTCTGGTAGGAGGCAGTTAAAACAAGAATAAAATTAACAAAAGTTAAAAAGATGGAGGGAGGACCTTTATATGAGACTCAAGTGAGTCAGCAGAGCCAGGTCTTCAGATACTTCTGAAAGGCTAGGAGAGTGGGGTGCTTGTCTTACCTCTGGGGGGAGAATATTTCAAAGGCCAGTGGCTATGGCAGAGAAAGCTTTCTTCCTGGACTCCAGGAAGATTGTGTGAATATGGTTTCCCCCGAAATCACTCACAGAAGGGTCTCTTCTTGGATTCCAGGCAGATTATGTTAATCTGGTTTGTCCAAAATAACTCAGAAGAACCATAGCTATATAAGCAGGGGTCCAGTTCTTTCTTCACCAAATCCAATGCTTCGACTATCTTTTTATTTTGTAGCAAAACTCCATGCAGGGATGTGACAGACTAAAAACAAAACATATGTTTGGCAGTGTAGAAAAAGGAGAAGACAACGGATAAACTGGATGCTGAGAACTGAGAATATTACTGGATTGCCTTTGGAAATGCTACAAGTTCTTATGAAAGGCAGGTCAAGGTAGACATTTGTCCTGTTGAAGACAAATGTCAAGATAACATTTGTCTGCTCAACTGGAAGTTGAACCTAACTAGATAGGATCTGTTTTTATACTGTAGTTCTTTTAAGTTGGAGAGTTTGTAATGGAGATATTCCTGTGTATTTGTTTAGAAATTAGAAATAGTTTAGTTCCAAATGTGAAACTTCATTTCTCCTCCCCTCCTTCCCAGATTGTACAGATGAATAATTATTGTGGCCTTGGAATTGATGCAGAGCTGAGTCTAGGTTTCCATCATGCAAGGGAAGAAGAGCCAGACAAATTCAATAGCAGGTATTTGGATTTTATTTTATTTTTTGGAGAAAAGGAACAAGTTCTCTCACTAATTGAAAAACATTGAGAAGAAACTTTCATGTGTTTCAGCTCATTAATACAGGTGGTGTTTCATTTACGACTATAATTGAGTCTGGAATTAGAGTCATAAGTTGTGCTGATAGTTAAATGGGTCACTACATGACCACCTGATTTTACAACCCTTTTTTTTTTTTTGCAATGGCCATTAAGCAAATGTGACACTAGTAAAGCAGATGTCGTGATCATGAAGGGACTTGGTTGTCCACAATGGGCATTTTTGCCAGAAACCAGAAGTAAACACCAGTTTCTGGCAATACGCATTATAAATTGTCAGAATATTCATGAATTGGCAGAGACATGGGTTACAAGGTCAATGGGAGCTGAATTGGGGGCTGAATTGGAAGGAGTCTGGGCGTGGCTTAGCTCCGTGCTCAGCTCTGAAGAAACAAAACTTCTTTGAGTTATTTAAAGTGAAACTAAACCTCTCTGCTCTGAACTCTGAAACTGCTGCTTGTGTTTTTCTTGTGTTATGTTGGAGGAATCTACTATTGGTATTGTAAACTTTACTTCAAATGTTATTATGTATATAAAGAAGTTAATGAATCCTGTTGAATCAGTCATCTGTGCATGTTTTCTGGATTTGAATTTCTGCTGCAAAATCTGACATAAATTGCAATTGTGACTGTGGGACGCTTCAAATGACTATAAAAGCAGTCTGGCTACCAAGTGTCCAAAATGTTATCATGTGAAGCCCAGCCACTGGGACATCAAATCTGTGTTGTTAGATAGCTGGGGAGCTAAGGTGGACACCACTTCAGCTTCTTTCAGGGTGGAGGAGAAGGAGGCAATGGAGTGTCACCACAGGAAAAGACCTTACAAAAGCTCACAGAACTTCTTTTGGTGATGGGACCTGGAAGAAGACCTTATTAGATGCAAGTACTGAGTAGGTACATATGAAAGAAGGTAACTTCTTCAGGTGACCTGGTCCTAAACCATTGTGGTCTTTAAAGCAGCACTTTGAATTGGACCTGGACCAGGAACCAGCATAGATGACAAAGAATTGGAATCATTTGTTCATATTGGCCAGTCCCAAGTAGTCTGACTGCTCTAGTTTGAACTAACTCAAGTGTCCAGACCATTTTAAAGGCAACCCCATCTACAATGCAACAGAATATCTGTTGCAAGACTATATTATCTTACTTTATTTTGTCATTGCACCTCGTACAACGAAATCAAACACCATCTTCAGTGCACATCATGACCATGACCATGAAAATAAACACAAACACACATCCTTCACCCTTCATACATTGAACCGGAATCTTGGGGTAATATAGAAATGTACATGGTACTTATCAAACCATAAATTAAGGATATTATTAAAAATTGATATTAGGATATCATGGCAACCCTAACACTAATCAATAGTAAACACCATATCTCATACTTGTCCGATGAGAAGATCATGCTTCTGCCTATTTTGTGCCTCAGTTGCCCGGCTACATGTCTATCTAATCTATCTTAGGTGATCTTAAACAGCTAAGCAAGACTAGTTATTATTTGAATGGGAGAACATCTGGAAATCCAGGTCTCTGCGTTAGACTAGAACATTTATATTAAAAAAAAATCTCATGAAATGGTAATGGCAAATTGCTTCCATATTATCCAAGATATCTGTGGGGATGTATGAGCTCATCTGAGCTTGAAGAAGATTACCATTTTCCCCACTTTCCCCACTTACAGACCCATGAGTGGATGTGAGTTTTATCCCATGGCTGCTAATTTTGCTCAGATGCATTTCATGAAGGCTTTGTCTAAGACTTTTGAAAATCCAAACATACAGGGGTAGGTTTCTACCGGTTCTGTCCACCTCTGTAGAACTGGTAGCTCTGAAGAGCAGCAGACATAGAACCAGTTCTATGTCTGCTGATGTTTTTGCCCACCCACCCACCCGGGCTCTTACCTGATCTTTATTTCCTGATTTTTCAACTTCAGCTGCCGAATGAGGCACAACTGCAGTTAGAAAAGCAAGAAAAGAGGGCTGTTTCAAAGGCTGCTTCTTGGTGGCAGCAGCAGCGGCAGAAGCATGCTAATGATGTGCTAATGACGATTGACAGGCGCACAGCTCACAGCAGGCAGGGAAGCTCGTAAATCCCAAACTGGTTGTTAACCCTGTCGTATCCCACCCCTGCAAACATATGCTAACTATCAGGTCATCTCTACGTAGTCCCAGAAAAGTGAGGCAAGGCTTACCTCTTCAGAATGTCAGTCGGCTCTTCCTCCAGTTCCCGCTCCCACTTGCTGTCTTCGACAATTTTCTTTTTAATAGCATTTCAATTTAGATACATGGAGCTAAGAGACGTGGTTAGGATGCAGTATTGCAGTAATCTAATTCTGCCAACTGCCAGCAGTTCGATTCTGACCGGCTCAAGGTTGACTCAGCCTTCCATCCTTCCAAGGTTCGGAAAATGAGGACCTAGATTGTTGGGGCCAATAGGCTGACTTTGTAAACCGCTTAGAGAACGGCTGCAAAGCACTGTGAAGCGGTATATAAGTCTAAGCGCTATTGCTATTGCTAACTGGCTTCCTGTTCATAGGAATGATAAAAACATAATGCAAGATACTGTCAGTGGTTGTTTGGAAATAAATTCAACCATCATATATAAACTCGTCCATTGTGTTTATTCATCTGAAGCCTGCCCTCCATGTGGGGAAGAGGGAATCTTGACACAGCACCCTAGGTACCTGCCAGAGGCATTAGATTATAATCCCCATCATCCCAAATAATCCTGCTGGCTGGGTTGAAGAGGGATAATACTCCAAAAGATATGAAGTAGAAGACTGAGTTATTCTTGATTCTCTTAGTTTAAACTCCAAAAAAACACACTTGAGCCTTGTTTTTTCAACAGTTCCCTGAATATCTACATTCATCATAGTTCCTAAGTAAACATGTCAAGGTTCAGCTATTTTTCTGTTCACAATGAATCCCATTTCCAGTGTATTGCTCTCGGATCACTGTTCTGATACTTCAGTTTAGAAATGTATTATCTCACTCTGAACTTTAAAGCGTTCGTCTAGTAAGGCCTGATTCGATTCTGCATTCCAAGGTATGAATATTGTGGCCCATTGGCTGCCAGCAGAGCTGGCAGCAGAGTCAGACGAGGAGGAGGTGGAAGGACAGCCTGGGCCGACTCTGGAACCTTTGGAAGGCCCGATGAGGAGGCAGCATTAGAGGCAGATGCCGGGGCCGTCTGTCTGCCCCCAGGGAGGAGAGGCAGCTATCTTCAGGGCCTGAGCTGAGTGAGTGAACAGATGAGACCCACCCCAGATGCACGTATGCGTAAAGAGGAGAGCAACGGAAAGCAAGCCGGTTCTCAGGGAAAAGCAGACGTAGACGCTAGCTAGACCCTTCCCTGGCTGGGAAATAAATCATCGGGGTTTGGGAGTGGCCTTTCCAGTGTACATGAATCAAATCAGAGTCCTTTGCCAGAACCAGGTTTGTTGGAACTAACCGCTCTGTATTTGAGGTGCCAACGGAATCTCCCTGCTGGGAAATAACAGGGAGTGAATTTATCTCAACTGTTGTGAACAGGGACTAATTTCTGCTTGGCTTAATCATCGAAAGGACTTTCTATCTTGAGTTCTCATGTGAACAGAGACTTTTCTTACCCTGTTTCAGAAGGGGGAAAGACTTTCATTTGTCACTAATTACTTTTGGTTTTGTTGATCCAGCATGAACAAAGACTGTTCCTGCCCTGGCTTAAATAAAAAAGGGGGGTTTGTGTTACTCGCGAGTAAGTGGTTTCTCATTGCTTGCGAAGGCTGGGTCAGAACAATGAAACTGGTCTTTATATAGGAATAAAGATGTTTGACAATTCTGCTGGGCAACCTAATTGAGGCTGAGACATGGTCACTTTTTAAATAAAGTACAGCCCGGTTCCATTTCAGGCTTGAGTTGCTAGAAATTTACCTATCTGAATGAGGAAAGCAAGCCTACCATAAAATCAGAGAAGGAAACTATTATGTCAATAATCAAAGCACGGACCGTGATGTACATATCACAGAGCTTACCATTTTTATAAAATAAAATTTTGTTTCTAGGCTACACAACAAAGGAGTCTATGTAAAAGTTGGGCTGCAGAAAATGAGCCATACCAGGAGTCTTCATAAAGAAATCAAACTTCAGGTGGACCAGCATGAAGTTGAGCTCCCAAGTATAGAGGGTCTTATTTTCATAAATATCCCCAGGTAAAATACTAGACATCTGGCCTTTTACCAAACAGTCCTTATTGTTGGTGTTTACAGCTGCTTTCTTTTGATAGTTAAAATTGTTTTTATTAATAAATAGCTCTTAGGTGCTTTTGTATTAAGAGTTTGCTTTACATTCTGAGTTATGTTATTCTACTGTGGATTTAATAAACAACTGTGAGTTGTTAATGCATAGGAGCTTCAAGTTTATGTGCTTCTTGTTCTTCTTCTGACGGGTGCATGATTTTCTTTGAGTTTGGTTAGACTAGCACTGGTGGTGTTACCTAATTTGAGCAATGAAATGACTGCAAGAAAAGCACCAAGCTCAGAGACCATCAAGCAACCCTCGTTTCAGTCTTGAGCTACAAATATTTGCCTTTGTTCTTCTGTTGGGGCTGCAAAGACGAGGTTGTATGTCAGCTAACGTTGCAACTGTATACTATCTTGTTTCCCAGTTTAAATATACTACACTGGGGTTATGAAATTCGGTCTCATGGTTAAGGGATCAGGCTACAAACCAGGACACTGTGAGTTCTGGTCTTCCCTTAAGTATGAAAGCTGGCTGAAAGTGAGCCAGTCACTTTCTCTCAGCCCATCTCACCACACAGGTTGGGGGGGGGGGGGGGAAATAGGTGGAGGAAGGAGTATTGGGTATGTTTACCTTCTTATGTATAAAAATAATAAAGGCAGGATAAAAAAAATATATTCTGATTTTAGACAAGATGTTTAACTGCTAATTTAAAATAGAAAATGTTTTGGTCTATTCCTTGGCATTGCCAAGCAATGGCAAAAAGGCTTGCAGGCTTTAGTGATTGGCTAAGTAATATTCCTGTAATGGCAAAAAATATGATATATTGCACTGTTCAAGTGAGATGCATATAGTTTGCGATGCCTTGTATGTATAATTTGTTATATAGCCTACACTGAGAGAGAGAGAGAGAGAGAGAGAGAGAGAGAGACACGTAACTATTTCACAGAGATACAAAACAGTTTTGAAATGTGTGAAGCATAGTGACATGAACAAATGGTCTCTGTTCTAGCTGTTCTAATTATTGTTCCTCCTGCCTTTGTCCATTCAGTTTCACTTCTGAACACATGAAACTGCCTTGTACAGAATCACACCATTAGTGTTTGTGCCAGCTGCCCAGAGCTTTCATTGTCTTGTATGGACATTTTCCCCCCTTTGCCTTTTACCCAAAATATTTTCATAAGATGATATCTGATTCTCAGATTATAAAACGTGAGACTCTTCTGAGAATTCTGATAAATAGTAAAGAAAAAAGAAAAAAAAAAAGAAATCAGTTACCTGTCAAGTCTATTTTCTGTATATAGAAAAGGTGTTATAATAATGATTCTTTCTGTTACATTAGTGTGTCTGTTATTTATAGATAATATAAGGAAATATTGGAGATATGAATATAAGGTTCACTAAACCAGCATTTGTTTGGTTTAGCTCATGTATCATACAAAGCCAAAACAGACATATCCTAGTCAGTAGTGGGATTCAAATTTTTTTACTATCAGTTCTGTGGGCGTGGCTTGGTGGGCCTGCTTTCCAGCTCCGTTCTCCTGTGCAGGGCAACAAAAGAAAGCCCAGCTGATCAGCTGGGACTCAGGAGGCAGAGAATAGATGGGGGCGGGGCCAGTCAGAGGCGGGATTTGCTGGTTCTCCGAACTACTCAAAATTTCTGCTACCGGTTCTCTAGAACTGGTCAGAACCTGCTGAATACCACCTCTGATCCTAGTATGATGTAGCACAAACTGTGAATCCAATCAGCATATGGATTATTTGTAAAGGCTTTAAAATGAGCCCTGAGTATATTAAAGGACAGAAAAATAAATGAGATAAAACCAATTTTTAAAATAACTAGGCAAATCCATTTTAGTCAGTTTTTACATTTTTCTCATTTTTAAAGTTTTTTTTAAAAAACATTTCTATATGAAAAATGTATCACCAATCTGTTAATCTGACATGGTCCGAATAACAGATCTATCTTTATTAATTATACTCACCTCTGAATAAACTCTTGTTTGTTTCTTTATAAACGCTAGCACATCTTCACAGGTTGACTTGGTATGTTGGGACAGAGGTTTTCTTTTTGTGGCCCGGTCTTTAAAGTTCTGTGGGTTAATATAGGATTTATGACTGCTCTTCATTTTACCTAAAAGGTTTTGCAGTATGTCTGCTGCTCTCAAGCTCCCTCTGCAGGTCATCAAGACAAGAGCGGAGACCATATCTAAATATTACCTGGTGGTCTGATGATTAAATACTTATTATTTTCTTTCAAGTTGCTACAATGTCCCTGTATGATGCCCATAATTACGGTATCATTGGGGGGAAACTACATGTACTGTATGTACTGTTTGTACACTGTTTTTTCTGTTTTAATTTTCTGCAAAATAAATGCTCCAAAGTAAACATCTTATAGAAATAAAAAGGTATTAGAGGTATTAAATATGGCTTGTCACACAGTCAACACAGACTGGATTTGGCATTTTTATTTACTTATCAAGGCTTTCCCAAGGACTTGAGATAGGCAAATGTTGTTTGGTGGTGTTAAGGGTACCTTCACAGAATGTAAGTTGTTTCACATAAAGCTGCCTTTTGCAGTTGACCGTGATTTTGCCAATACCATGTTCCAGCTGTTTTATTATTATTAGTGCATTATTTTTAATCACCCGGAGATACATATGTAAAAATAGACAGCCGTATGAATTTTCTAAATAAATAAATACAATTAAAGTTATTTCATTGCTTTCTTTCTAGTTGGGGATCAGGTGCTGATCTTTGGGGTTCTGATAATGACAATCGGTTTGAGAAACCAAAAATTGATGATGGCTTATTAGAAGTAGTCGGTGTCACTGGAGTTGTTCACATGGTAAGTCGAAGTGCACTTGACTTCTCTTAATAGCTTTTATTTTGCATTTAAAGCCTTTTAGGGGGGTATAATGGATTTGTGCTAATTGACTTGACCTGAAACAATTGCACTTGTAAATTAATTGAGATGTATGTATATTGAAAGAGAAGGCTATAGGAATATAGTATGGTGATGCCTGGGAGGGAATTCAGTGTGATAGTTGTAACTTTAAATGGAAGCATATTTGGAGATTATAGAGCATAGAATTATAGGCCTGGAAGGGATTTTGGAGGTCTTTTAGTCCAACCCTTTGCTCAAGGAAGACTTTATATTGTCCCAGTCAAATGGTTATTCAGTCTATGTTTGAAAACCTCCCGCAGTTAACAGATTAACAGAGTTGGAAGGGACCTTGTAGGTCATCTAGTCCAACTCCCCTGCCCAAGCAAGAGACCCTACACCATTTTTGACAGAGGGAGCATCTAAACCTCCAGGAAGCAGGTTTAATTGTTCTCGCTGTCAGAAAATGTATCCTTACTTCTAGGTTATAATTGGGAGAAATTCCATGTGTGATGCATTTATAAAAATTATAAAAGAATCGGTTACCCAGTGATAGATCTCAAAGGAGACCTGACCCTTTTTTTTTTAAAGATGTTTTGATTACTAGTCGTCTCCCCCCCACCCCCCCAAATAGGGTCAAGTTCAAGGAGGTCTCCGTTCTGGCATCCGGATTGCCCAAGGCTCCTACTTCCGTGTGACACTTCGGAAGCCAATTCCTGTCCAAGTAGATGGTGAGCCCTGGATTCAACCACCAGGTCAGATGATTATTTCTGCAGCAGGACCAAAGGTAATTTATATGTTTGGTGTCCAACGTTTTATCATTACTGTAGAAAAGAAGGAAAAAAACGTAACTACATTCAGCTCCTGTACTTAACAGACTATATAGCCAGATGGATCTGGTTGAAATATAATGTATTTTAGTTGTTAGAAATGCCAAGAGCTGTAGCCTTTTCCCTTCAGCCTTCTTGATCTGCTGTGATTGGAGGCTTTTTGGGCTAGCTAACCAGAATTATATCTCAGGAATATATATTACCGAGGGTAGAATAAACCTGCATGTCAGATGAATGTCCTATCATGTATTCAGGTTGGTTTTTTTGGGTGGGGGGGGAAGAATGGATTAATCAACCCAGAAAATCATGGTATGCTTGCAGAAGGCATAGTGGAGACTGACTATATATGATAATTGATTTATTGCTCAAAAGTCATGTTCTCACTGTACCATTAAGTTTGCAGGCTGGAGCATACATAACTAAATCTCCCTCATGCAATATATACGTACATGAAAAACTAAAATGTGAGGTTCCAACCTAACCTTTTCTCTTCCTTCCCAAATACAGAGTTTTCTTTGAGTACAACATTTTTCAATATACTTGTAAGGTCCTTCTCACGATTGAAGTTAATGAGATAATAGTTCCAAAAGTTGTTTGTTATCATAGTCAGAGCTAGCTCTTTCTTCTAGGATTCAGTCTACAGAATCAAATGAATATCTGAATGTACACCATATTATTTCTGTATGCATAGCTTGTCAAAAGTTTTCCCGCTACCTATCACTCTCTCCGTCTCCAATGTATTATATTGAGCACATGTTGGAATGATTGCTTCCTGTTGCCGTGTCTACTACAATTCTTGGCTTATTGGTAATGCCAGTTAGGGGAGGCTGGGGTATGTTAAGCCAACGCCTTAGAAACAAAAGCTAGGCCTTCCCTCTTTTTAAGATTTTTTTTTTAATTGCATAATTGTCTGATTTTTAATTGTCAGATTTCTTTTGTACGTGTGATCTTTGCAGGTCCATATGTTAAAGAAATCAAAACAGAAACAGAAGAAAACTGGAAACACAAAGGATTCAAGAAGCGAGAGCACATTGACTGATGAAGCAGGGCACTGATGGGAGATACTCAAGAGTCCAAATGCTGCACATCTACTGTAGATGACATCTGTCTGGCAAAATACTGTTGCATAGTTCAGGTCGTTTATGAGCCTGTCTTCTTGTTCCATGTTCATTGTTCAGTAGCCATGTAACTGACATGAGACTATGGTTGTACCCAGGAGTGGATCGGAGGAGTTTGTATTAGGGAGCCTTTTAGAAAAGTACATTCTTTCTCCTTTTTCAGCCACTCTGTTGAAGGATTTAAGCTAGTCCAGAGAAAAATAAATAACTTGAGTGAAAATCAAAAAGAACCCATAATATCATTTGGGAACTAGTTCCTGAAGTAGGGTAGAGTTATGATGACTTAATCCAGGAACGCAATCCAGACTCTGTTCCACTGGGCCGGCTTCATTGCAGTTTTTTTTGACCCCTGATCTACACAACAAGGGATCCCATTGCCTTTCCCTCTTCACCTGCGTGCAATCCACATGTTCCTCATACTTTTTTTCATCAATAATTGTTAAAACACGGAACAGAGCTCTCGTTGAAGAACTGGCAAAGAAAACGCTTAATAGGATGCGGGAGAAGGAAAATTCTCCCCATAACGGCTAACTGTGGCCTATTCCGAGTTTTCATCTATGCACCACGAACACTTTCACTACACTACCACAAGAAACATTTTGAGAGAAAAGAAAGCTCCTATAATTTTGACTTTTTTTTTATAGTTTACAGATTTTTTTTTATAAGACCTGCAAAGCTTTCATTTTCTAATACATCGCATGTGTTTCTTTTCTCTAATTCTGCTCTGCAAGTCAGTGTTCCCGATTTCAGTCTTTAGCCTTCTCTTTCTGTCAGCATTCAGACTGTTGCCGAAATATCAAACTCAGAATGGGTACGAAGCACAATGTAGTTCAACTAATTTATTTCAACCTTTATTTGATAAATATTAAACGATCGTGCAGAAAATAAAATTACACATTGGTTTATTTTCAGTTAAAATACTTTGAACTTTTTAAAAACAAAGAATAGATTGTGTTTTCTGAAGGTGGCAATTGTGCTGATGGTGCCAAAGATCCTATATAGAGACTTCCTTGCGATTAAGAAACTGATTATTGGCCAGTACATAAGACATTTTTTGCTTGTTTTCACGATTATCATTTTGTGGTGTTATTTTCCCTCTGTAACAATCATTCATAGTTTTGGCCGTCAACTCACTACAGGTAGTCCTCGACTTATGACCAAAATTTCTGTTGCAAAGTGAGACGGCTGTTAGGTGAGTTTTGTCCCATTTTACGACTTTCCTTGCCACATTTGTGAAGCGAGGGCTCCTTGACGCTCTCTGAGCTTGCTTGTTTTCTCTCAGACATTTCATTACCCAACTAGGTAACATCACCAGTGCTATGTCAACCCTGAGCTACAAATGTCAACCCTGAGCTACAGACATCCTCCTTTATTAGTTATTAGTTATTAAGTGAATCATTGCAGTTGTTAAATTAGTGACACAGTTGTTAAGTGAATCCGGCTCCCCCGCTGACTTGCTTGACAGGAGGGCGGAAAAGGGGATCACATGACCTTGGGAAACTGTAACTGCCATAAATAGGAGGCGGTTGCCAAGCGTTTTGAATTTTGATCACGTGACTATAAGGATGCTGCAACAGTAGTAACTGAGAAATGGTCATAAGTCACTTTTTCAGTTCCATTGTAACGTCAAGCAGTCACTAAATGAACTGTTGTAAGTCGAGAACTACCTGTATAACCTTCCCCCACCCCTGAAATAAGTAGTCTGGGTTCAGAGGCTAACAGAAGATATTTGGAGCTTTGGTTCCTCTGCCCCTTTTCGGTTTGGATATATCTGAAATGAAGTTCATTTTCAATGAACTGCGACTTGCCATGTCTTCAAAACTTAGATAAGCTGTGGTTGACCACAATCAAGGCTTGAATTCAGTTCCAAATTGCAGTTACTTCTAAGCTTCAATTAATCACAAACAAAAAAAACCAGAAAACAACAGTGGCATAAATCTCTGACTTCTTTGTGACCACACCAAAGTGAAAAATATTCCACGTTAAGTCCGGGACTCAGGTGATTAAATGATGGTGAATGTGTGGCTCTTCTAACTATTGCTGAACTCAAGACTTCTAGTGTCCTTCATCACAAGCATATTGCCTAGAATAGTTTAGCAGCATCTAGAAGATGGGCAGTTGGAATAAATTGGGTACTGTTTCATATGGAGTAGCAAAAGGAAAATAAAAGTGGGTGGGGCAGTAGATTCAAATTTTTTAACTACGGGTTCTATGGGCGTGGCTTGGTGGGCGTGGTAGGGGAACAATACTTTAAAATCTCCAGTCAGAGGTGGGATTTGCTGGTTCTCAGCACTACTCAAAATTTCCGCTACTGGTTCTCCAGAATTTCCTGCCTAATACCACCTCGCCGGGGGGGGGGGGGGTATCCTATTTTTAGGTGTCTAACTGGTTGGAATTGTACCACACTGTAGTAATTAACCCTGAATGCCAAAAGAGTAGCAGTAGCCAGGATTAGAATCATGATATGCGACCAGATCATAGGCAGAAGTTGTCTTTGTGTATTTGAAAAATAACTTGATAGAGGTTCATCTTCATTCATATTCAAGAAATCATGTGCTTGTGCAAGTAGTGCCTGTTATAGTATCTTTTCCACATGTGTTAGAATGGATAAAGCCTTACTAAGTGGTGACAAGTCTCTTTAAAAATGAATGTCTTAACATTTTACGCATAGCAATAGAAGGAAATTAGAAAATGTCTAATAAACATTGGAGCTCAGAAGGGTCTGCAGGATTTGCTTTGGTTTAGAAAAAAATGCACTTTCAAAAGCATAATTGTTTTGCTGCTGCAAATGCTGCTGTATTTTCCCAGGAGAACAGGGGTGGATGGACATAGCGTGTTCTTGTAGATAATACATCCCCAACTTTGTCAGCCTGTTTTGGCATTCTGTGTGTCTTGCATCTCTCATATATTTGTATTTGCAAATAATGGCAAAGAAAAATTGTGTGGTGCTCACTAGTGTTCTTTAACTAGATGTTTTCATGCACCAGTCTTCCAACCAGTGAGAGCGTGTTGCAGTTTACAGTATTTCTTATCTCCATGCTGTGCCATCCAATGTAATATTGGAGAATGGTGAATATTTTGTAAAAGGTGTTCTTACAATTGCTTTTTTATTCTTAACATGTGACTTGATTCTAGACTTTTTGGTTTCTTAGAAGTTTGACCATAAAATGTTGCATAGCAATGAGAATATTTGTTTAAAATATTTGTAATATAATATTTGCTTTATTTTGGGAGTTCCGAAGTTTTCATAACATCAAAATCATATGTGTGCTTTTCTTTTATCAAATCTTAGAACTTGCCCATAATCCAAAGAATGGCAAAAGTTGTTATGGGATGTGTGTGTTAGCTCAGGGAGAGACACTGATCATGTTCTGATGACATGCTTATCATGGTTTGTTTAAGACTTTAGAACAGAGGTCTTCAAACTTGACAAATTTAAGACTTGTGGACTTCAACTCCCAGAATTCCTCTTCCAGACTTGTTAGCTCAGGAATTCTGGGAGTTGAAATCCACAAGTCTTAAAGTTGCCAAGTTTGAAGACCCTTGCTCTAGATTCTAGAACATACCTGGTGTACACGATTCTTAGCCGTGACCATCTCCACTTCAACTGTGGTTGCTTTTGGCTTATTAAGGAATGTATAAGAGTTCTGATGTCATCAGCCAGTAAGTTATCTCTGCTACTAGCAACAAAACTGAAAACAACTCTTCAGTTATTTTTCATACGGATAAATAAAAGGTGCTGGCAGATGATGCTAGGATTTTTAAACCTTAAACCAGCCAAGTCTGTGTGGTGGAAACCAACATGCAGAATTAGACTTTAGCGAACATGACCTGACGAACTCAGAATGAAAATGAAATTTAACTACTTAAGCACAAAGTAATCTTTGATCTCTTTCTTCATCATCTTTACCTCTTTTTGTGTTTGTGTCTCTGTGGGTGGGGCCTTCAAGTCAGCTTTGATTCCAGGCAGCTGCCTGGACAAAACTCTGTGTAATTTATTTTTTTTTGAGAGCGTTTAACAACAACGACAACAAAAATCCTTCTCACCCTTATGGGTAGTATTTGTCTTCCCCAATCTCGGTCTTCTTCCAAAGGCCTGGGAATTTGAAAGTTCTGTGCAATATTTTAGCTGTTTCTAGCACTGCAATCTTCTGATGCTCTTCCTGGGATCAGTTGGGTCACTTTGGCCTTTACTTTCCACATCTGTTCTATTTTTTCCTTCAGGTGCTCCTTCTTCCTGATGTTGCTTTCATTTGGCATTGCTACATCTATCACCACTGTTGTCTTTTGGTCCTTGTCTGTTACTTGATTGACCAGTTCCTGCTTGTCTGGATATGGAAGTCCTACAGGATCTTAACCCTGTAACTCTGTAATCCTTGATTTTTTGTGAAATCTCCCATCTTGTCTTGAGATGGTCTAGCCATTGCACTGTGCAGATGTTCCTACACACAATCCCAGCTACTTGGCTATGTCATTCAACATATGCTATTCCAATGTCCTTCTTATGTGTTGCCTCGGTGTGTTGGACTGTCTCTGAGATCTCTCTGCCTAGTCTGCACATTGGGTACTCTCTAGTTCTGAACCCTTAGAAGGGAACAGACTTTCCCACTAATCAGTAGAATGACAAAATTGGATTCAACTCAGAGAACATTGATGTAACTGGTTTAGTGCATCCCAAGTCACATGACTGTTTCTTTAATAGAAAATCTGCATAGCCAACTATTTGAAAAGCCTACATTAACTGAAGGCAATTACAATTAGATGGGTCCATTGCATTTAACTGAAGACAATTCCAATTAACTGAAGACAATTACAATTAGATGGGTCCATTGCACTAAGCCAAAAATATTGCTTGCTTTATTTTAATCTAATGTGCCATACGCATCTAGCCATTGTTGGCTGCAAATCATGGTTGTGATTTCATGTATTTATGGAATAAACCATGGTTAAATAAATCACAGCTTAATGCAATCTGTGAATCAGTCTAAATATGTCCCCAAAGTTGTGCAGCATTTGATTCTCAAAAAAGTGTGTTTGGGTGGGGGGTGGGTGGGTTGAGATTGTAGCACCTTCTGCAATTCCTTAATATTTCTGCATTCCCCCCACCCCCACCCCCCCGAATCTCATAGTTGCCCTCCACATATTTCATCTAAACATAAACCATTTCATGCTACGTTAGTTTTCATGGTAATTTGAAGGTGTTCTTCACACTTTAACTGATCTAAAATAGGACTTAGCTTTAGTTCTTTTGTCTGCATGAAACACGCACATAGTTTTGGTTGCACTACTTTTTCTGAGTAAATATACAAAAATAATAACAAAGAGCACATCTTTTTTGTCCTTGACACATTTTCTGAAATATGCTGCCCTTTAAATATTATTCACGCAGCAACATTTTTTTACCTTTTGAATTTCTACGCATAAGACATGTGCAGTGTTTTAGCATTTTCAGAAAAAAAACCACATCCAGATTATTAGACAAAAATATTATTTGGGCATATATTGCTTCATATTTTTCACTACATTGCTGATTGTAGCCGGGATGCTTAAAAAGTAAACTACATAGAATGTCTTATGTGCCTTTTACGCTTGTGCTAAATTGCCCCTTTATACAGCTCTGGAGTCCCCCTAGATTGCATGCCAAGTTTCAGAAGCACAATGTTCCAGAAAGTTTAATGGAATTGTAGCATGAAATAGGTTTCCTAAACTTCCAGAGGTCCTGTTGCCTTTCGCTTCCTTATTACTCCCCGTTTCCAAATGCTGAAGGAGGAAAAATGCATGCGTGCTGGCTCCGTTCCTCCAGTGACAATACCATGCCACCCTTACTGTCTAAAGCTGTTGTCCTTCATCAGTGTGTTATGTTTT